ATTTCGCAATTGAGTTTCCGAAAGAACATACAAAAACACAGGGTTTCGCAACACGGACGTGCTAAACAAGTTTTCGCGCGAGTTCTTGCGACATCTTAAGAAAACCATAGGTCTTCAAGATTGTCACACAATGCTACCAAACGCGCTTCGCGCGCGCATGTCGAAATCTGTCGAACGCCCTTGCGCGTGTGCCGTCGCGAAAATCCTTTGCAAAAAGGGGATGAAGTGCAGACGCGCGCGTCGTCGCGCGCGTACGCCAAAATCCTTCAAAACTCATCGGCGTTGGAAGGGATTCAACACCGTGTGTCAAAAAAAACGTCAAAAACACAAGGTTTCGCAACACGGACTTTCAACAAAAGCGTGCGCGCGCACTCTTGCGTCGTCGTCGTCGTCGCCGTCTACCCTCCTCCCGCGTCGTCGTCGTTGTCGTCGCCTACGTCGTCCTCTGTTTTTCCTCGTGTTCGTCGTCGTCATCCTCTTTGGCGTCGTGGTAGTTTCCGTCGTCGTTGTCGCCGTAGTCGTCCTTCCTCCTCCTCCTCCCTCGTCGTCGTCGTCGTCCGTCTTCGGCGTCTCGTCGTCGTCCCCCCTATTTCGTCGCCGTCGTCGTCGTCGTCGTCGTCATCGTCGTCACCCCTCCTCCCTCGTCGTTGTCGTCGTCGGCGTCGCCGTCCTTCGTCGTTCGCGTCGTCGCCGTCCTCCCTCTTCCTTCGTCGTTGTCGTCGTTGCCGCCGTCGTCGTCATCCCTCCTCCCTCGTCGTTGTCTTCGTTGGCGATGTCGTCGTCGTCGTCGTTTTCGTCGTCGTCGTCGGCGTCGGCGTCGTCGTCTTCTTCGTCGTCGTCGACGTCGGCGTCGTCGTCGTCGCCGCCCTCGTCGTCGTCGTCGTCGTCGGCGTCGTTGACGTCGTCGTCGGAGTCGTCGTTGTCGTCGTCGGTGTCGTTTTCGTCGTCGTCGTTGTCATAGTCGTCGGCGTCGTCGTCGTCGTTGTCGGCGTCGTCGAAATCGTTGGAGACGTCGTCGGTGTCGTCGTAGTCGTTGTCGGCGGCGTCGTCGTCGTTGTCGCTGTCGTCATCGGCGTCGCTGTCGTTGCCAAGTGCCATGTGGTACCCACCCTTACGGTCTTAAGAGATTTTGCAAACCAAGTTGCGGGTGGGTGGGTGGGATGTTTGCGCGAGCAGTGGGGTGGACAACGCACTGCGAACAGAAATTATTTGCACCACATAGATTGCACCACCCAGTTGAATACTTTAGCTCCTACCACATATGTTGTACCACGCATTTTACGTTACGCAGCTTGCACCACGTAGGTTGCGCCGCATAAGTGCGTATATTAGCTCATACCACGCAGGTTTGGACCACGTAGTTTTGTCATCAAGTAAGTCACACTGCATAGCTTACACCCCATAGATTGCACCACGTTGGTGAGTAATGAGTATTTTGGCTCCCACCACAGATGGTTCACCACATAGTTCACATCACGTAGTTCACGCCACGTAAATTCTCCTTCCTAAAAAGAGAATAGACTCTACCCCTCCCCCCGGACTTCTCGGTTCCCCCTGGGATAGTACGATGTCATATATATTCTACACACTCGTCCATCCTAAATATGAAATCATACCATCCCAGCTAGGCCGGGCCGGTTTCCCCCTCCCTGAAGTTCCCTTGCAACAAAAAACAAATTCAAAAAAAAAAATGCCGTGGCATGTTTTGCTCTAGCATAGTATTTGTTCACGATTTTTTGCAAACAGTGAGACGAAGTGCACACGCGCGCGTCGTCGCGCGCATGCCGAAATCCTTCAAAAACTTTCGGTGCGGGAAGGATTTCGCAATCGAGCTTCCAAACAAAAGTACAAAAACACAGGGTTTCGCAACACAGAGTTGCTAAAACAGCTTCCGCGAAAGCTCTTGCGAAATCTCCAGAAAACCACAGGTTTTCCGAGATTTTCACAAAATGCTACCACACGGGCTTCGCGCGCGCTCATGTCGAAATCTGTCGAACGCCCTTGCGCGTGTGCCGTCGCGAGAATCCCCTACTAAGAACGGGACGAAGTGCAGACGCGCGCGTCGTCGCGCGCGTATGCAGAAAACCTTCAAAACCGATCGGTTTCGGACGAATTTCAAAATCGTGTGTCAAAGCAACATGCAACAACACAAGGTTTCGCAACACGGATTTTCAACAAAAGCGTGCGCGCGCGCTCTTGCGTCGTCGTCGTCGTCGTCCTCGCCGTCCTCCCTCCTCCCGCGTCGTTGTCGTCGTCGTCGTCGTAACCTAGGTCGTCCTCTGTCTTTCCTCGTGTTCGTCGTCGTCGTCCCCTTTGGCGTCGTGGTCGTTTCCGTCGTCGTTGTCGCCGTGGTCGTCCTTCCTCCTCCTCCTCCCTCGTCGTCGTCGTCGTCCGTCGTCGGCGTCTCGTCGTCGTCCCTCCTATTTCGTCGCCGTCGTCGTCGTCGTCGTCGTCGTCGTCCCCTCCTCCCTCGTCGTTGCCGTCGTCGGCGTCGCCGTCCTTCCTCCTTCTTCGTCGTTCGCGTCGTCGCCGTCCTCCCTCCTCCCTCGTCGTTGTCGTCGTTGTCGCCGTCGTCGTCCTCCCTCCTTCCTCGTTGTCTTCGTTGGCGACGTCGTCGTCGTCTTCGTCGTCGGCGTCGGCGTCGGCGTCGTTGTCGTCTTCGTCGTCGTCGACGTCGGCGTCGTCGTCGTCGCCGCCGTCGTCGTCGGCGTCGTCGGCGTCGTTGACGTCGTCGTCGTCGTCGGTGTCGTCGTTATCGTCGTTGTCGGCGTCGTCATCGTCGTCGTCGTTGTCATCGTCGTCGTCGTCGTCGGCGTCGGTGTCGTCGTCGTCGTCGGCGTCGTCGGCGTCGTTGACGTCGTCGTCGTCGTCGGTGTCGTCGTCGTCGTCTTTGTCGGCGTCGTCGTAGTAGTCGTTGTCGTTGGGGACGCCGTCGGTGTCGTCGTAGTCGTTGTCGGCGGCGTCGTCATTGTCGTTGTCGCTGTCGTCGTCGGCGTCGCTCTTGTTGCCAAGTGCCATGTGGTGCCCGCCGTCACGGTCTTCAGAGATTTTGCAAACCAAGTTGCGGGTGGGTGGGTGGGATGTTTGCGCGAGAAGTGGAGGGGACAACTCACTGCGAACAGAAATTAATTGCACAACATAGATGGGCGTTTAGCTTTTACCACATACGTTGGACCACACCGCGTAGCTTCTCCCTTCTAGCAAAGAGTAGACTCCTCCGCCGCGCCCGACTATCGGCTCCCCTTTTCGTATTTCAATTTACATATGAGTTTCCCAATCGTCCATCCGAAATATGAATTCATATGATCAGCCAAGCCGGTGCCCGCCCTTTCCCGCCATCTGTTTCATTATATACTATGCGCGCGCACTTGTTTGTCAACAATCATAAGGTTGCACGAAGCCCATGCAAACAACAGAAAACGGTACGAAGTGTACGCGCGCGCGTCGCCGCGCGCGCATGCCGAAATCCTTCCAAACACGCGGCACCGTGAGGATTTCAAAATCGAGCACCCAAAAAACATTTGTTTTTGTAAAACACACACATTTCGCACCACGGGTTTTCAAAAACCACTTGTGCGCGCTCTTGCGAATTCTTTGGGTAACCATCGTGTTCCCTGCACTTGCATTAACATGCTACCAAACGGGCTTCGCACGCGCGTGTCGAAGTCGTTCGAACGCCCTTGCGCGCTTGCGGTTTCGAGAATTTTTGCATCATATGAAACGAAATGAACGCGCGCGCGTCGTCGCGCGCGTAGATTGAATTCCGTCACAAACTGTCGGTGCTTTAACAATGTCCAAACCCAGTGTCCAACAATCAAGAAACAAACAACACATGGTTTCGCAACATCATTTTTTGGTTGCAAGAAAGTGCGTTCGCGCTCTTGCGAATCCTTGAGAAAACAATGGGGTTTTCAATTTCCATGGGATTCTGCCAAGCGGACCTCTCGCGCCGCATGTCGACATCATTTGCACGCCCCTTGCGCGCGCGCTGGGGGGGGGGGGGGGGCACGGTCCGTGTCATCTAATGCCACGCGGGCCACTCTCGCGTGTCTGCCGCGCGCATGTCGAACTCTTTCCAAAACCGTCATCACCGTGGCGAGGACGCCGTTATCGTCGCCGGCGTGATCCGCATCGGCGCCAGCACTGGCCGCGCCTTCGTCATTGTGTACATCGTCGACAGCATCGCCACTATCATCATCGTGTCTACCGTTGCCGACGTTGCCATGATACCGCGCCCGCCCAAGTCGCCGACTCGCCGTGAAGTGCCCGCTGGGATATGCCCAGAGGTCAGCGCAACCGTGGTCGCGACTGTCGCGCCAAAGTAGCTGGCCGCTGCGCGCGCGAGTATGCGCGGGTTGTCGCGGCCGCAGGGATGCGCCAGCCAGCGCCGCACACATCGCATTCGCCGCCGCATGGGGTCAGCAATCCAAATTACGGGTGGGTGGGTGGGATGTTTGCGCGAGCAGTGGAGTAGACAGTTTCAAGTTGAACAGTGGTGGATTGCACAATATAGATCGCACCAGATTGCCCACATCACATAGATTGCACCACGTGGATTGGAAGAGCCTGCTGTTTGGGGTCCACGCTGGTTAACATTTCTTTGCGTAAGTTTACACTGCCCTGGAGTGATTTGATTTGCATTGGTGTGCATTGCGCCATATGGGTTGCACCACCGAATTCGCGCTACATTGGTTGTACTACCAAGGTGGCGCCGCATATCTAGTTGGTGGTCCACGCGACCAATGAAGGCGACGCTGGATACATTCGTTCCACCCTTTTTTGGCGACGACGACGTCGACGACGACCCAAACGTCCGTGGAGGTCCTCGCGGGCTTCCCGAGCTCCCCCGCAGGCCCACGGAACCCCGAAACCCCGCGAGCCTGAACCCCACCCCGAACGACGACAAGAGCATTTTGAAGCCCGCCGTGGCGATGACGACGACGACGACGACGACGACGACGACGACGACGACGACGACGACGACGACGGCGCAGAGCGAGGCCTCGTCGCCCGCGGGTGCCGCCGCCGCGGCCTGGGTCGCCGGCGGAACCCCAGCCGCGGGCACCGCCCCTGCTGGCGGCGGTGAGCCCGCCGCGCTGGAGGACCGCCTCGGTGCCTCACCGCGCCTCGCCTTTTTCCGGTTCTTTCTCGCAAAGCCAGGCGGTGATCCCTTCATTCCTATGGCCCGCGCGCGCGGTCGCGCGGCTCTTTTCCGGAGGTGGTGGGGGGTAGGAGCAGGTGGAGGAGGAGAAGGAGAAGGAGGATGAGGAAAAGGAGAAGGAGGTAGTGGAGAAGGAGAAGGAGGTGGAGAAGGAGGAAGAGAAGGAGAGGAGGTGGTGGAGGAGCAGGATAAGGAGGAGGAGGAGGAGCAGGAAAAGGAGGAGGAGGAGGAGGAGGACGATGAGGAGGAAGAGGAGGAGGAAAAGGCGGAGGAGGAGGAGGAGGGAGCTCGGACCTCCTTCGCCTCCTCTTCGTCGGGGGGGGCCCAACAGCGGCGGACGTCGGATCTCGGGGTTCTCCGCCTCGTTCCTCCCAACGCCTCGCTTCCTCGTTTCTTTCTCTTCCTCCCAGCGCCTCGCTCGTTCTCCGCCTCCTGTGCCTCCTCCTCCTCCTTTTCCTCCTCCTCCTCTTCATTACTCGTGGCTTCTTGCCTCCTCCCCAAAGCTCGGGGCGCTGCAATTGTTTAAACCAATTGTTTCGCGACGTCGGATCTCGGTGTTCTATTCTTTGTTCCTCCCAGCGCCGTATCTTGGGGAACAGTCTCAATGTGGCAGTTCGATTTCCCCCTCTGGGGCCTCACGATGTTCAGAAGCATTGAGATCTCTCGGTTACTTTTGGAATGCGCCGCCCGCCCTTCCTCCGTATTATTCCCTACCTAGGCTCTGCCTAGAAGGGTTCTTACTCTCTAGGTTAAAGGGGCCGGGCAGTGCTACACGCCCCGGGCGGTTCCCGCAGTCCCCTGGTCGGGAGCCTCGAGACGGGGGTCAGTGCAAACGGGGGTCAGCCAGGGCGCCGGATCCTGCAGGATCCTGCGAAGGCCCCCTCTGGCTGACCCGGGTTAGGGAGCCGCTCGTGGCCGCGAGGCGGCCGCGCGTATTGGCTGACCCGGGTTTGCGAGGACCTGCGTTGCAGTTTTTTTTTCTTGCATTGCAGTTTTTGGTTTCCTGCTGACCCGGGTCTGGATTGACCCGGGTCAGAGGATCCCCGACCTGGGAGCGGTTCCCCCCAGTCCCTTGGGAGCTTTAGCTTTAGCTTTAGCTTTAGCTTAGCTTTAGCTTAGCTGTAGCTTAGCTTTAGCTTAGCTTTAGCTTAGCTGTTCGCTTAGCTGTTCGCTTAGCGTGTAGCTTAGCTTTAGCTTAGCTTAGCTTTAGCTTAGCTTTAGCTTAGCTTTAGCTTAGCTTTAGCTTAGCTTAGCTTTAGCTTAGCTTTAGCTTATGTTTGGCTTAACTGTATCTTAGCTTTAGCTCAGGTTTAGCTCAGCTTTAGCTTAGCTTTAGCTTAGCTTTAGCTTAGCTTTAGCTTAGCTTTAGCTTAGCTTTAGCTTAGCTGCGGCTTAGCTTTAGCTTAGCTTTAGCTTAGCTTTAGCTTAGCTTTAGCTTAGCGTTACTGTTACTACTAATGCTGCTTTCCTAGGGGTTCCAACTCCTAGGTAGGGTCGCACTCGGATAATTTTTGGCTCGAGCTCGTCTCGCCGTCTGCTAGCGCGCTTCTGGTTGCCAGCGCCTTCTCCACGGGACCGTTCGCGGCGCGGGATGTCGTACCACTCGGGGTGACCGATCGATGCGCCTCTTCTGGAGACAGCCATGTGGAGACGGAGGGGAAGGGATGGGCGAAGGTGGCAGAGCGGGAGGAGGAGAAGGAGGAACATGAAAAGGTAGCGGAGCGGGAGGAGGGGGAGGCGGAGGGGGAGGAGTCAGCGTGGAATCAGCATCGGCCACTGCGTGGCGTCCTTTTGGCAAGGGGAACGCTGGAAGGACACATTTCTCCCTTGACCGCAACGTCGACCGCGAAGCACGCACCCAGCAGCGTTACGATGAACGGGATACCACTCAGGGAGCGGCTGATCGGCGACACCGCTGCCACAGTTGCGCCTCGCGCCTCTCACAGGTCGCCGCCGCATCTCTCACCAAGCGGATACACTCTCCACCAGGGGCGCGTACAGCATGAGTTAACGGGCGAAGAACGGTACAACATAAACTTTTTCGCTGTCGGGGGTGCCTGTCCCTGGGCGGCTGGAAAGCTTATACCCTTACGGTGGCACCGTATGGGTATAAACTTTTCAGTTGCCCAGGGGCAGGTGTCCCCGACGGCGAAAAAGTTTATTTTATACAGTTCTTCGCTCGCTGAATGAGACCGTGCGATGGGCGCACATGCAGGGACTTTGCCGCCGAAGTTGTGGACGGCTGTCGTTCTCACCAGCCAGGGCTCCTCAACCGCACGGGCAGCCAGCTGGCTCCGCATTCATGCCGACGTGGCCCCACTGCTCGACTCGTCCCCTCGGCGGAGCGCTAAGGGGTACCAGCGTGACAGCGCGCACGGGCGCGAGCACCGCAGGGCCCGTCGGTTCCACGTCTGCGTCGTCGAACACGCACGGGTCCTCCTTCGGGGGCTTGCCAGCGGGGTTTGTCCCTATGCTCGGGCTGCGGGCACATCCGGCACGGCATCCACCAGCGGGCCGATGTCCTCTCCCTTTGGGTCGCCATCCACCACGGGCACCACCTCTTCGGGGCGCGGCGCATCGTCGCCTCTCACTCCTCGTTGTCGCGCTCATGCTGGTGGTCGGGGCAGCTGGAGGCGACGCCCTCGACCTCGGAAGCCGTCTCCGCCTGATCCAGGCCCTCGCCAGCGCTGCCGCGTGCTCCTGCTGCTCTTCTGACTCCAGCTCGTCCCCGTAGTCGTTCTGCAGCGGGCGTTCCTTCACCATCAGCGAGGTGACCACCACGAACTCGGGGGAATGCGATCGGGCGCGGAGCTTCTCCAGCTCCGCCGCCGCTGTCCCGAGGGAACCCAGGGGAGCCGCGCCAGGCCAGGCGGTGCAGCGTGCCGAGCCCACTTGGCCGAGATGCCGAGCTCCGCGGCCAGCGCCGCGAGTTTGTCCAGGCCGATGAGCTTGGCCGCTCCCGCCGCAACCATGGTCGAGGCCCCGTGGCCGCCCAGCGCGTTGCCCAGGGCCCAGTGGGCCCCAGGCGACGTCCTGAAAGTGTCAGCCCTCCTGCTGATGGCCAGCGCCCGCGACTCGGCGACAGCGGCGCGCGCAGTTCGCGTCGGCGCCGCCTGGCCTCGAAGAAGAAAACCGGCGCCATGAACACATAGACATGTGGATCCGCGCGGAGCGCCAAACGTGTATGTTTCAAGCGTTTTGTGTCTCCTTCTACAGCCAGCATGCGCGCCGACGCCGCAGCCCAGCGCCGCTCGCCGTCGGACGCGGGGTCCGCCGTGGGCCGCACGCGCGCGCAAGAGAAGTGCGAGCTCGGGGCGCGCGCCGTCGGGCGTGGGCCTCTGGCGGCCTGGCTCGCCCGGGCGAGGCGGGAGGCTGCCACGGTCCCTGCGCGTGTGCTGCTCCATGGCGGGTCCTCGGTTCGCCCCGGAGCTGCCCGTTCGGACTCGTGGACTCTTGAGAGGTGGTGGTGGGGGGGAGGGAGGCGAGGAGGGCGATGGGGGGGGGGGGCACGAAGACGAGGCGGAGGGGGAGGATGCAGACGGGGCAGGAGGAGGAGGAGAGGAGTGGAGTGGAGTGGAGCCCGTTGCGGATGCAAGTTCGTCTCAACCTCAACCCTTAAAGTGTGCTCGACTTCCTGGCCTTCTTCTCGGCCTGGCTGAGGACTTTCGGCTTCAAACCAGCCGCTAGTCTGTCGAGGTATTCTCTTTGGGTCTTATTCATCAGCTCACGACACGGCTTGCCCAAGAGGCGATTTTGCTTCTCGGCTATGCCGCCACACAGCGTGCAAAACCAGATTCGGAGGGTCGTGTGCATATTAAGGGTGTGGGTGGGATGAGGCCAGGCCCCTATTATATGGATACGATCCCCCCTCTTCGGGGACATTTTAATGCCATTCGCATTATAAAGTTGCGGGCAAGGGGTAGGCCACCAAGCCCTCATGCAAGCTTTGGTGGCAGAGCTGTAACACTTCAAACACCTCTGTTTATCATCAGTGAGAACGTGGGGGGAGAGGAGAGAGGAGACAGCAGCAGCAGACGGAGGAGGAGGAGGGGGAGGAGCAGCAGCAGCAGAGCCGCCTTTCCTCCTCGCGACCTCGGTCTTCTCCGAGGCTGTCATGCTGTCGATGGCTGCACGCAGCAGCCGTCTCCTGACCAACAGCGCCCGCCTCTCGTGCATGCCAATGCGGTGGCGGTCAGCCGACGGAACTCGAGCCTCCGCGGCCGCGCAGCTCGCCAACTCGTCCACGACCGCGTTGCCGAACACGAGGCCTGGCACACCCCTGCCCTCGCCCAGGTCCTTGGCGGTGAGGTGGGAGTGGGTGAAGAGCACCTCCACCTGCCTATCCTCGACCCGTTTGCCGATGTCCCACCAAATGTCCGCGTCGTCGCCCCACGGGGCCTGGAACTTCTTGCTGTACCATCCTTCTGCCACCATGTCGCAGTCCGTCACATATGTGATGGCCCCCGTCGTGCAGAACAGGGCCATCTGGAACGCCTTCAGCTCGCTCCTCGCCACCACCTGTCGCTGGCCTGCCAGAGGGCCTGCCAAACACGAGTGGGCCTCGGGGCTCGTCATGTCGGTCATCCTCACGATGGCGATTCCCGCACGACGGAGCTTGTTGCACCCTGAATGCTCGCCTCCTCTCGCGTCGCCAAACACGACCAGCGGATCACCCTCACGCCCATGACCCATGCACCCCCGCTGCACCTCGTCGACGCCCGCGTGCCACCACTGGTCCTCCGTGGGTGGCGGGGGCGCCGCGACCCATGCCGACGGCAGGAACCCCCTCAGCCAGAACGCCTCTGCCGCGTTGACCTGCGCAAGCGCCTGGCCCACCAGCTCGTCGCTCATCTCGTAGGCCTTGGAGCCCCTGTTCGCTTCGCACTGCCAGTTCCTGTGGAGCGCCGTCTCCACTGGGACCCGGCACCGATCGCAGATCGT